TAGAAAGGTAATTTGTCTTTTTATGTTATGTTATTCGTGAAGAACCGAGTACGAAGAAAGGGATTTGGAAGCCAAGATCACATTACATCTATTTTGGTCCATTGAAGAAATAAGCGTTTTTAATCGATAATGCCATTTATACTTATCCAAATTCTTTACACCTAATTTTGTTCCCGGAAGTTTTTACGTACATACTTTCTAGTTTTAGAACATACGGTGAAAGAATGTCCTCATATATTGCACGTCAGTTATGCATTTCATTGTATGATCTGTCAAATGTCTTATCTAAACTACTGCCCTTATGTTTCCTTAAGTCGACAAAGACACCCATCAATACTACCAACTTTTGGCGTGACTCTAAAACCTGATGACTTGTCCATTCCTCTTTTGTACTGTATTCAAAAGCTTCATACAAAGGGAGAGATATATTGCAGGGTCCAGGAAATGGACCACCAAATCCCTATCACAGAGAGTAACTACAATCATTATTACAAACAAGAACTGTCTTTATAATTATTCACAGAAAGTATTTGAGTCAAGAGAAATTATCCTTTCCGAATATAGCATAATCATGTGTAATAAATGTTATATTTGGAATAGGACTTTCTGAGTAAAGTACAGATTCTCGTACTTCTTTTTTTAGTCCTGTTCGGGATTCGAACACACATTGCCAGAGTGAGGTACCTAATCGCCAGCACACAAAGTCAGCGATCTAACCCACTCAGCCACCGAGTCTTCCACAAAAATGAAAGTACAACAACTGGTAGTCTCTAGATCACGTACTTTGTGTACCCCTCTGACAAGTGCTCCAACTGTCCATCAACTTTCTTTACGCATATTAGTCGGAATTTCTTCTTGGGTTGGCAAAATATAAACACGGGAATTTGGCCAAGACGTTTCAGGAATATCGATGGTCTGACATCGTTCAACTATTGTCAAACAGCCAATTCCCTTTCGCTGATTCCCAACTGTGACTGAAATGAAGTCCCTATTTTGACGTGTAACATAAGTTCCAGTGTTGGTTCACAAGAATAACTGACTAGCCTTTGCAAGTGTTTCTGACGGGTACTACCGGTGTGCCAGGATACGCTCACTTTTTCGGGAACATCTTGAATCATGTTTATTTCACAGTGATTCATGAACACATGCTTATGATACAGTCGGAATCGTACGGAGAAGTCTTGCTAGTATGGGGGTGATTGAGTTAGTAATGTTTCACGCAATATTCCAGCAACATTACGGCGGGGGACTCCAGAAATGGACTTCACACATTGTTCCCATGTGAGGAATCGAACCCGGGTCTTCGGCGTGTTGAGCCAACGCTTAAACCACTTGGCTACCCCACTGCCTTGTTATTATGGAATGTGTTTTAGTGTTATAGTCCATTCATATTGAGAATATTCAATTCGTGAATGAAACTCACTTAAACGACCTCGCTTAAAGGATACCTTCTCACATCACGTAAAGGAAAACACTATCGTCAGGAGATAGATATATATAAGCATTATATCAAGTTTACAGATAGAAACAGAACCCGACAATATCTCAAAAGAGTATTTAAGTGTTACAATGTTCCAAACATCTACTAAGGTCCGAGTATGAAAGTAACCGAAAGGTAAAAATGTTGACATGTATGTGGTGCCTGTATATTGCTGAGAGTGCGTTGTTAAGAGGTCACAGAAAATAATATGTACTCTGTTTGCAATGTCTTGGCTTATACCAGAGCTGTGTTAAAACCGGTCAACAGCATTCATTCCGGACTTCCATGAGTGTAAGTGTAACGTTTTCTTCGTAAATCGTTTATATTCTAGAGTTCAAGAGTTCAAGTCTTAATAAATCTTCTTAGAGTAATGACTGTTACAGACTAGTGTCCTGTGAACGTACAGGGCAGCAATTACTAGTAGAAAGGTTGTAAGTGAGTTTTTATTTATCAAAGATTGTTGGTGTCACATTAACTGTCTATAATGGCTACATACCACACCGGACATGCACGTATTAATAAATGATGTATACAGCAGGTGGAAAAAGCAACATTACAATTTGTTGACTTAAAAGTAAGAACTGTGTCTTTTTAGGATGGACATATCTGAAATCAAATGAAGAGCTAGGGAAAGGTGTTCAGAAAGAAAACATACCCTTTGCGCCAATGAGTAAATTATTGTTTGCGTATGTGTGTGCGTATAGGTCTGCGTCTGTACGTGAAGTTATCGTGGTATGTATCAAAAATGGTTTTCACTCTCACATAAAATTCATACTCGTGGTCGTTGTTTATCGTAAATAAAACACTGCACATAGAATAAACCTGCTTTATGTTACGATAAGCAACTCCTGTGCGTCTGTACGTGAAGTTGTCGTGGCATATATCAAACATGGTTTTCACTCTCACCCAAAAAAATATATACGTAAAGAAGAGTAATTGCCTCTTTTAATTCAAAACGCCAACGCCGGAAAAATAATCAGTCGACTATCTGCCGAAACAGATTCCATAGGGTGTAAAAGACAAAACAGACAGTGATGACATCAGGTGTTCGCAAAAAGTGAAGGTATGTCCTGGTCTACCGGTAGTAAGTGCAGGGGGTTAAGGAGATGTGAAACCTCCATGTAAATTCGATAGCATCATGCTGACAAGAGACGTGACTTACTCTGCGAATTCTTTCTGAATGTCTACCACAAACTTTCAGGAAAGACTTAATCTGGCCGATGATGGTGAAACATTGATTGAAAAGCTAAATGTAAGCGGAATGTGTGTTTCCATGACATTCGAATACAATGTACAGTAAGACATCGTCTAATTAAGCTATTACATAAGCAATTAAGAAATGCAGAGGCCATCAGATGACGCTGATGGTGTACTTTAGGCACAGAAGTGACTTGAAAAACGAAATGATTCCTCTTTTACAGTTTGTTACAAAGGCCCCCATAACTTATTAATCATTTCTGTGCACAGTTCTAGATAAGACACTGGGTATGGTTTCTTAGTTGTTTATTCGATTTCCAACTCTGATGGACAGATACTAAGAAGATATCTTGACGTTGTTCAAAGAAATGAGGCTATGTGTATATCTAAAACTGAGGTTAAACCTTTTGGAAAAGTGTCCTTTCTTGGATTTTACTTAAGTAAAAAGTACGATTCGGACGCAAAATGAAACAGATCAGCTAGGAGAAGTGCACAAAAAGTACATATGGGGTTCCTAATACTTGTCTAAATATTCCATCCCATACTTTAACAAAGACATTGTCAATTAGGAAATTCTATCTACTCACATATGTAGGTATCTAAATATTTTTTAGCAGAGTTACTTTCAGTCCTAACAGTCTAATACATAATTTAAGTTTTAATGAGTGAGTGAGTATGGTTTTACGCCGCTTTTTGCAATATTCCCGGGAAAGGAAACCTGGCCTTGGCTAGACGTGAAGGAGAATTAACCACCGGGATACCCAGGCGCCCATATAAGATAGTGTATAGATTGGTTACCTAAGAAAAAACCCGAGGGAGACTAAAAGGCTTAAAAACTATTTTTACAGGTATTTACCGCCAACTATAAAAAAGTAGGAAAGCGTTTTAAGCCGTTATCTTGAAAAAGGGACTAGGCTCAGGAAAATTGGCAGTCCGAGCATGATTCCAGACAAGTGAACTTGTTTTGCATACTAACTCAAAATGTATTATGTATATCAATCTAGCAGTTAATGATGACCCTAATTACAGAGAGATAATATCTCAGTTTCGCAGTCTACTAATTACAATGTCTAGACCTACACATATAGGGTGAAATTGAGAACCAGACCGTTGAACGGAGTTTCTCTTCAAAGGGTCAAATCACCTTTCCGGGGAAAAAAGTTGGTACAAGGTAAGAAGAATAAGGCTGTTTCGACTTGACAGTTAACACAGGCTTATTATTCAGATCATACTATGGGCTGTTTCGCCGAAAGATAACCTGAGGGATTACAATAAACAGTTCCCCACGATGTGTAAGCAAAGATATACATGGTTCTATTTATGCCATCACTATCAGATACAGTGGTATAAAAAAGCCAATCTACAGGATTATACAGCGGAATTTTTGTCTAGATGCTTTTTCTGACACATTTATTGTCCAAAAGAAGCGCCTACTCCGGCTGGATGACTTTGATGCTAAGTGTGTAACAGTGTAAGCATACCATCAGAAACTCACAAGCCATGACGCTCTGTACATCCGCATCAGAAGCAGTACATATAAACCTTACACATTTATACACTCTGTGCGATAAAATTGCGTCAGCTGGCCTATGAAATTAGTTCGAGTGGCGTGTCAGCTTGAAAATGACATGATGGTAAATTTATACTGATCATTTCGCAGTGTTTCAACGATACGCAAACAAAAGTATCAGGAAAAAATGTTGATGCCTTTCACAGAGACACCTGTTACCATTCTACGGGAATACGATCGCTTGCAATATATAGAAATCTAATCATTCTGATTGTTACATTACCTTGCCATTCATTTTTAATTAAGCTCAAACGGAACAAAATAAACTAGATACCTTACGTATGCATTAGACCATACATCATCTGTATAATATTGAGTGACGAGCCAAGCCAATAAATATATTCATTGTGTTGGTGTCATACACAGTTGGTTTATGTTAACGGATGGTCGCTTTTGTATAATATTTGTGTTTGGTCAAATTTGCATTTACTATATTCGTTACATGTGGTAACAATAGGTGTCTTCATCTGTCCATTAAGGTATGGAGGTTTTGTTTAAAAAAGCGTTATGCTACTATAGAATGTTGGGATCCTACATGTATTAAATACAACACGGGTATCAAATCCAAAACTAAACATGACATGCTCTGTGAAAACAAATTGTATTATGAAGTCATTATATAAATCCATGAAACGGCGTTAGATATGCTGAAAGTTAACAACCCTACGAAATATGACCATCATTAAGCAAAACTCTTACAAAATAGTACAAATATGCTTATTTAGTGAAAGAATGAAAGATATGATCACTTACCTGTCGATGGCAATGGCGGTGAATGTCAGAACACTAACAGAAATGGCACAGGGGGATATGAACATAGAAAACCTACAGTAGTGAGCTCCGAACCACCAGTCCTGGTACATATTGTACACAAAATTGAACGGTGTGTTTAACAATGATATCAGGACATCAGCAACAGCTAAGTTGACAAGGAAGTAATTTGTCACTGTCCTCATGCGTTTATGAGCAAGAACGATCCATATTACGATGATATTGCCACCAGCAGCCACAACAAACATTGCCACAAACATTGTTATGAACAGAAGTTGTTGCCACCAAGGTAAGTTAAAGTTATTGTCGTACAACACCTCAGTTGTCCCGTTCAGGTCCATGGTAGCATTAGTGGTATTTGTCGGCGATATTGTCGTGGGTAAATAAATAGGGAGTGCTGCGTTAATCACTGAAGTGTTCAGTGATTTAAATTCCGTGATAGTAGTAGTTAACTCTGCCATTTTGAAGTTGAATAATCGGAAGGTGTCCGGCCACAATATCAGTTCTCAACAATATCTAACTGTTGAGCATTGCGCAGTTGATGAAATTTCCAGTAAATGGAGTGAACTTTGTATTAACCTTCCAGTTCCAGAGACAAGAATGAAGTCTTGAAGGAAAATCAGATCTGCCTGCTGAACGTGCGATGCAGAGATATCCAAAGTAACGTCGTTTGGGCTTGTAAGGTATCCAGTCAAAACCGAGCTTCATATGCAATAGGTAGTCTGAAAAGTTAAAGAATAATTTCAAATGATTGCCTGGATTATGGTAGAGTCTATGAATCACACTAATACATAAGAGAAAGAAGAGTTCAAATCTGAACAATAATATCAACGTGTACACAACACACATAACCTTCCTTCAGCGTTAGATGCCTGCAAATGCCTACTTCACAAAACGTTTACCTTAGGAATTCTCCCTCTGGACAGTGACTCTTCAAGGCTCTCATAGTTTACTAACAAAACGCGTTTAAGGCCCACGGCGCCTTTACCAGCTACTAAACAGCCTGTCTAACGCTGGTGGAATCACAAAGCTCTCTGATCCAGTCTGCTACCTCCGATCTCCGCGGATTAATCACTGGCAGCAGCTCCCAGAAAGCTGGAGGGGTAATGTTGACGGCTCGGCATTGAGCATCGCGTACAGTGTACATGCAGTTATCTCACAGAAAGGCTCAATACACCCTATAAGCATTGGGTAAAGCATCACGTTAAACACAGCTTCATTTGCGAATTAGCTATCTAGCGTAATATAACTGAGTTACTGCAACGATTTATCATTTTGTAGCTGACACATCTCTACAGATATCGTATTGCGTTTTGAAGCAGTGGAGTTAGATTTTGTCAGATATATGAATTTACGTTCTGACTGACGATAAACATCTAAAGGGTTGATTAGATTGAGATTAATGGCTGTTTTAGTTTTTTGGTTATTAAGGGGTTGCTTTTAGGTCAGCTTTTTGTACAATGTTGACATTGAAACACTGAAAATAATAGCCTAGATGGATTAATATATATAGAACACAAAACGAGATCCCGTAAAATACCATCTTTATGAAATAGTTCTGGTATCTGACGAGCGGAAACGAGTAATAAAATTGGTATCACACGGAAGCGAGTTCAGTATCCCGAATATAACTTGCCGTTTATAACATTTTAAGAATGTCACTGACGTGTGTGGATCGGTAGGCATCTACGCGATCCAAAGCTTACTCTAATTGCGTTAACATAGTGATACTTCAAACACGTCAAAAGTTGATAGTTATTAATATGATACCACACAACGGCCCACCTTTAGAATTCAGGGGTCCGTTTCACAAAAGCTATCGTGGCGTTATGGTTATCCATAGCTCCCATATACATAGACAGACTTAGGACAGTCGTTGCCCTACGATCGCCTTGTGGAACGGGACCCTGCACCACAATGTTTACAATCACGCCACAATATAAACCCTATGACGTAATTTGTGGCTTTTTGTTGCAAGATCTACCGGCGAAACAATGTCATATGACGGCAGCCTAGCAACAGGGTTGCTGGGCTCATCAAGTGTGCATAAGCTACTCTCAGTGATCTATCATCTCTTCACGAAATGTCGTTGAAGAAACCCACGGATGTTGAGAGTTTTCATCATTTGTGCGAGAAAAGTGTTCCTGCAGTACCATGCGCGCGCTTAGGTATTACACAATGTGTAATACAGCTGCATGTTAATTAAACGAGTGATCTCTCCCCGAGCTTTCTTCAGATGAACGTGTATTAAAGAGAGTTGGATAGTCATGTGCATGTATCTCTGCCATACATGTTTATTTCATTGAGCAGTCTGTCTTCATCATATACATATATGTCAATCAGCATGTTTATTTCATCCTAATCATATACATGTATGACACTGAACATGTTTATCTCATTGAGCAGCCTGTCCTAATCATATGTATGTACATCAGTCAGCATTTGTATCTCAGTAAGCAGTCTGTCCTAATCATATACATGTATGTCACTGAATATGTGTATTTAATTGAACAGTCTGTCCTAATCATATACATGTATGTCACTGAACATGTTTATCTCATTGAGCAGTCTGTCCTAATCATATACATGTATGTCACTGAACATTTTTATCTCATTGAGCAGTCTGTCCTAATCATATACATGTATGTCACTGAACATGTTTATCTCATTGAGCAGTCTGTCCTAATCATATACATGTATGTCACTGAACATGTTTATTTCATTACGCAGTCTGTCCTAATCATATGCATGTATGTCAGTCAGCATGTTTAATTCATCGTGCAGTCTGTCCTAGTCATATACATGTATGTCACTGAACATGTTTATTTCATTACGCAGTCTGTCCTAATCATATGCATGTATGTCACTGAACATGTTTAATTCATCGTGCAGTCTGTCCTAGTCATATACATGTATGTCACTGAACATGTTTATTTCATTACGCAGTCTGTCCTTATCATATGCATGTATGTCAGTCAGCATGTTTAATTCATCGTGCAGTCTGTCCTAGTCATATACATGTATGTCACTGAACATGTTAATCTCATTGAGCGGTCTGTCCTAATCATGCACATGTATCTCAGTCAGCATGTGTTTCTAATTTAGCTGTCTGTCCTAATCATATACATGTATATCATTCAGTATGTGTATCTCATTACGCAGTCTGTCCTAATCATATGCATGTATCGTATGTCACTGAATATGTGTATTTCATTGAGCAGTCTGTCTTAATCATATACATGTATATCAGTCAGCATGTGTATTTCATCGCGCAGTCTATCGTAATCATATATATGTATGTCACTGAATATGCTGACCGACATACATGTATATGATTAGGACAGAGCCCGACTTGATCCAGGTCTTAGACATTTACCGCTTTGGTGAAACCCATAACCACGACCAGGGGAATGGGATTGACCAAAACCCCGTTTCCGAACTAACGATGGTACATGTAGGTTTCTAGAACGCTGAAGGACGTAACTCTGCACAGCGGATTGCGCCTTCTTAGACGACTGGGCCCCACGTCCCTGCATATATGTTTGGTTGTTTGTTGTTTAACGCGGCGGTCGGGTAGCCTTGTGGTTAAAGCGTTCGTTCGTCACGCCGAAGACCCGGGTTCGATTCCCGACATGGGTACAATGTGTGAAACCCATTTCTGGTGTCCCCCGCCGTGATATTGCTGGAATATTGCTAAAAGCGGCGTAAAACCATACTCACTCACTCACTCAATTGTTGTTTAACGCCGCACTCAGCAATATTCCAGCTACATGACGGCGGCCTGTACATATTCGAGCCTGGACCAGACAATCCAGTGATTGACATCATGCGCATTGATTTACGCAAATTGGAGCCTGACTACCCGATCCGGTTAGTATGTCTGTCACTGACTATGCTGACCGACATACATGTATATGATTAGGGCAAACTGCTCAATGAAATAAACATGCTGACTGACATACATGTACATGATAAGGACAGACTGCTCAATGAAATAAACATGCTGACTGACATACATGTATATGATTAGGACAGAACATGTGCATTTCATTGAGCAGTCTGTCCTAATCATATACATGTATGTCAGTCAGCATGTGTATTTCATCGAGCAGTCTGTCCTAATCATATACATGTATGTCAGTCAGCATGTGTATTTCATCGAGCAGTCTGTCCTAATCATATATATGTATGTCACTGAACATGCTGACTGACATACATGTATATGATTAGGGCAGACTGTTCGATGAGATAATCATGCTGCCTGACATACATGTATATGATTGGGACAGGGCATGCGTATTTCCAAGAGCAGTCTGTCCTAATCATATCCATGTATGTCCGTTTACATGTTTGACTCACCGTTTGGTGTGCCAAACACATATTTCAAACTTATCTTAACATCACTTTATTCAGAATGAAACCTCTAGACTTTTAGTATAAAACGTCAACGTCAGGGTAAAATCAGTCCATAGGACGGAAGAGGCAAAGGAAGTGATGACAAATATATGAATGGATCAGTGAAAAACATTATGACTTAAGGTGTCCGTGAAAAGGTAAGTATGCCCGGCTCTACTGGATGCACCCACCACTCTCTCTTTTTTAATATCATTGCACATGCACATAGTCATGTAGTTACAATACGGTTACATACACTCCACATTCAGTACTATAGATATGGTTAGTTGGGTGCGTGTTCATTGTAGACTCAACACACCGAGGGTTCATGGACATATATGTCTTAAATATATGTAACAGACCGCTCTCAGTTATACGCGTTTCGTAAAAATGGCACAGGTACAACAATGTTGATTGTTGCCATAAATACACTCTGTTATCAAGAAAGTGTATCTTGAGTGAAATAGATGCTTTCCTTAGAAGACACATGTCACCATTCAATTCTCTCAAATCAAACTGCTGCCAAGGTACAAGGTATGCTATCATGAAGGAGCATGAGGTGCATTATAATTAAACACGAAATCCCAATACAATCCTCAGCACTTTTGTAATCATGTAAACGAACAGACTTGGCCAAAGCAAAACAATGTCTATACATGCAATAATGTTAGGGATATCAATATAACACTTCAATGGGTAATAGGCTTTAGAGTGAGTGTGTTCGTGTGACTCGGTTTTCAGGCTAGGGTATATATAAACTGTATAACGTCTGAACATTATACTCGACAACGTACCTGTATCTTGTATCACCTTCTGGGAACAACGTTTGCTCTTGCCCTTTTATGTGCATTTAGTATATGGAATTTTAATGTAAACAATTGCGTGTCCCCTAATGACATTGAATTGTCAACTGTCTTGCAATAGCCAGACACCATGCAACAGCCTGCTGTTTACATAACATGTCATTGAAACTAAATCATAAAATATGTAAAATGATCCTGCACGCATTAACATAATCTGAAAATCCGATTCCGACGGGGTGAAGCTTAACTTCTTTCTGTATTTGTCATCAACAGAAAATGAAAAAAGTTTAGGCATATAATAGTAATTTGATTTTCAAATAGTTAATATTATAATCATTGTGAACCACTACCTGGCATATGTTATCATTGTCAAGATATAATTTTTAGAAAAACGGAATTCTATATATAACGAGAAAGTCGATACTCTCGCTTTTTTTTGTTCTATGGGCTATGTGTGCATATGGTTGAGTGAGAGTTAGTTTGAACATGTTTTCAGTTATATTATGGCTTGTTACATGTAGCTTGATTTAGGAGAAAAGCCCGACTTGATCCAGGTCTTAGACATTTACCGCTTTGGTGAAACCCATAGCCTCGACCAGGGGAATGGGATTGACCAAAGCCCCGTTTCCGAACCAACGATGGCACATGTAGGTTTCTCATACGCTGAATTAACTCTACACAGCGAATTGCGCCTTCTTAGACAACTGGGCCCCACGTCCCTGCATATATGTTTGTTTGTTGTTGTTTAACGCCGCACTCCGCAATTTTCCAGCTATATGACGGCAGCCTGAACATATTCGAGTCTGGACCAGACAATCCAGTGATTGACATCATGCGCATTGATCTACGCACATTGGAGCCTGACCACCGACTGCGTTTGTCGTCTCCTGTGGCAAGCA